CGCCTGTGAATTAGCTGCAGCAGAAACTTTAAATATAAAGGTTATCATTTTATGGGACACATTTTAGATCATTAAAACAGGAGAGCCCTTCAGTCTGCTGTTTGTATGATGTGAAACTGGAAACGCAATGCATTCTACAATGCACATCATGGGGAGTGTCAAATACTATGGGGAAATAGGTGCAGACAATGGAAATCACCTTTTATTTTAAAAAAAGTATTACATTAATAAAGCACTGCCCCATTTAAAACAACACAGCAGATCCCTAATTCAACAAAGCAATTGCTTCCCTTAATTAAGCCTGCATTCCTGCACAGGAAATGGGATGTACACTGAGCCCAGTATTCAGTCCTTGATGTGCAGAGATTCCGCGTACACTGAGCCCAGTATTCAGACCTTGCTGTGCAGAGAGTCTGTGTACACTGAGTCCACTATTCATGTGTCTGTGCAGAGAGTCCGTGTACACTGAGCCCAGTATTCAGCCTTTCCTGTGAAGAGAGTCCATTTACACTGAGTCCAGTATTCGTGTGTGTCTTTGCAGAGAGTCCGTGTACACTGAGCCCAGTATTCATGTGTGTCTGTGCAGAGTCTATGTACACTGAGCCCAATATTCAGGACATGCTGTGCAGAGAGTCCATGTACACTGAGCCCAATATTCATGTGTGTCTGTGCAGAGAGTCCATGTACACTGAACCCAATATTCAGGCCTTGCTGTGCAGAGAGTCCATGTTCACTGAGCCCAATATTCAGGCCTTGCTATGCATAGAGTCCATGTTCACTGAGCCCAACATTCAGGCCTTGCTGTGCAGAGAGTCCATGTACACTGAGCCCAACATTCAGGCCTTGCTGTGCAGAGAGTCCATGTACACTGAGCTCAGCATTCAGGCCTTGCTGTGCAGAGTCCATGTACACTGAGCCCAATATTCATGTGTGTCTGTGCAGAGAGTCCGTGTGCACCGAGACCAGTATTCATGTGTGTCTTTGCAGAGTCTGTGTACACTGAGCCCAGCATTCATATGTGTGTATACACTGAGCCCATTATTAATGTGTCTGTGTAGAGAGTCCATAGACACTGAGCAGAATAAATGAGAGTAATTTGTAAGGAGTCCATGTGCAATGACTATAGAATAGCAGCCAATACGCACACTGCTTGTATCCGCATAAGGTTTTTGGCTAGAGACCCAGAATTAGAGGATTAGGACATGTGTGCGGAAAATGTCATATGGATCATACTGTAAGCATTGGCTCAACCTATCAGTTTATGGACAACAAACATGTTTCAGATACAGAGATAGTTTCTCCTTGCAGGATTCAACCATAGTGTTTACTCTGCACAGAGCAGTAAGAGTCTTCAATCATTCCTTTCAATCATTTAAAGGAGTCGATAACACCAACTGCGATCGCAAACTTTCCCTCCCAATAACATCAAGGTCTCTCCTGCTGCCGTGGCTTGTTAATGGCACCTTAGCACTGTGCTTCCTCTTCTTCTGTGCCGAGTGATCCAAACTTATCCAGGTATCTTCTGGTTAAATGCATCATGTATGAAGAAAGGAGGAGAGGAGAGATGAATATGAAAAACATGTTATTCAAGAAGGAAAAAAAAAAAAAGAGCAATGTCATATACCGGCACAGGGAAGAGATATTTGAAGGGAGCAGTATAGAGCAATAATTACAGCAATTGCACAGGAAGAAGGATAGAGCAATAATTACAGCAATGGTAGAGGGACAGAGCAATAATTACAGCAATGGTAGAGGGACAGAGCAATAATTACAGCAATGGTAGAGGGATAGGGATAGAGCAATAATTACAGCAATGGTAGAGGGACAGAGCAATAATTACAGCAATGGTAGAGGGACAGAGCAATAATTACAGCAATGGTAGAGGGATAGGGATAGAGCAATAATTACAGCAATGGTAGAGGGACAGAGCAATAATTACAGCAATTGCAGAGGGACAGAGCAATAATTACAGCAATGGTAGAGGGACAGAGCAATAATTACAGCAATGGCACAGGGATAGAGTAATAATTACAGCAATGGTAGAGGGATAGAGTAATAATTACAGCAATGGTAGAGGAAGAGGGATAGAGTAATAATTACAGCAATGGCACAGAAAGACGGATAGAGCAATAATTACAGCAATGGCACAGAAAGACGGATAGAGCAATAATTACAGCAATGGCACAGGAAGAGGGATAGAGCAATAATTACAGCAATGGCACAGGAAGACGGATATAGTAATAATTACAGCAATGGCACAGGAAGAGGAATAGAGTAATAATTACAGCAATGGTAGAGGGATAGAGTAATAATTACAGCAATGGCACAGGAAGAGGGATAGAGTAATAATTACAGCAATGGCACAGGAAGACGGATAGAGCAATAATTACAGCAATGGCACAGGAAGTGTGATGGAGCAATAATTACAGCAATGGCACAGGAAGACGGATATAGTAATAATTACAGCAATGGCACAGGAAGAGGGATATAGTAATAATTACAGCAATGGCACAGGAAGAGGGATAGTGTAATAATTACAGCAATGGTACAGGAAGAGGGATAGAGCAATAATTACAGCAATGGCACAGGAAGTGGGTTAGAGCAATAATTACAGCAATAGCACAGGAAGAGGGATAGTGTAATAATTACAGCAATGGTACAGGAAGAGGGATAGAGCAATAATTACAGCAATGGCACAGGAAGTGGGATAGAGCAATAATTACAGCAATGGTAGAGAGAGAGAGAGTAATAATTACAGCAATGGCACAGGAAGTGGGATAGAGCAATAATAACAGCAATGGCACAGGAAGTGGGATAGAGCAATAATTACAGCAATGGCACAGGAAGAGGGATAGTGTAATAATTACAGCAATGGCACAGGAAGAGGGATAGAGCAAATTACAGCAATGGCACAGGAAGTGGGATAGAGCAATAACACAGGAAGTGGGATAGGTAATAATTACAGCAATGGCACAGGAAGCGGATAGAGTAATAATTACAGCAATGGCACAGGAAGTGGGATAGAGCAATAATTACAGCAATGGCACAGGAAGACGGATAGAGTAATAATTACAGCAATGGCACAGGAAGAGGGATAGAGCAATAATTACAGCAATGGCACAGGAAGTGGGATAGAGCAATAATTACAGCAATGGCACAGGAAGAGGATAGAGCAATAATTACAGCAATGGCACAGGAAGAGGATAGTGTAATAATTACACAATGGCACAGGAAGGGGATAGAGCAATTACAGCAATGGCACAGGAAGAGGGATAGAGCAATAATTACAGCAATGGCACAGGAAGTGGGATAGAGCAATAATTACAGCAATGGCACAGGAAGTGAGATAGAGCAATAATTACAGCAATGGCACAGGAAGTGGGATAGTGTAATAATTACAGCAATGGTACGGGAAGTGGGATAGAGCAATAATTACAGCAATGGCACAGGAAGTGGGATAGAGCAATAATTACAGCAATGGCACAGGAAGTGGGATAGAGCAATAATTACAGCAATGGCACAGGAAGACGGATATAGTAATAATTACAGCAATGGAACAGGAAGACGGATATAGTAATAATTACAGCAATGGCACAGGAAGAGGGATAGTGTAATAATTACAGCAATGGTACAGGAAGTGGGATAGAGCAATAATTACAGCAATGGTAGAGAGAGAGAGTAATAATTACAGCAATGGCACAGGAAGAGGGATAGAGCAATAATTACAGCAATGGCACAGGAAGAGGGATAGAGCAATAATTACAGCAATGGCACAGGAAGTGGGCTAGAGCAATAATTACAGCAATGGCACAGGAAGTGAGATAGAGCAATAATTACAGCAATGGCACAGGAAGTGGGATAGTGTAATAATTACAGCAATGGTACAGGAAGTGGGATAGAGCAATAATTACAGCAATGGCACAGGAAGTGGGATAGAGCAATAATTACAGCAATGGCACAGGAAGTGGGATAGAGCAATAATTACAGCAATGGCACAGGAAGTGGGATAGAGCAATAATTACAGCAATGGCACAGGAAGACGGATAGAGTAATAATTACAGCAAAAACGAAGTGCTATTTACATAGATTGTCTACTCGTCTTCACATCTACTGCAGCTTCTTTCACTTACCTCCGTGCACACTCATATAACGCTTCCTTCCGTTCCTGCAATGAGAGATGTCTGTCTTCAGGACGGCGACCAAAACCCTTATAAACAGACTGAAAGAGCAAAAATGTGTTTATTTCCTCTCCCAAGATAAGACATTTTGTAACATTAGACTTCATTTTTCATTATGATTTAATTCAGACACTTTATATCAAGCATGTCAAACTGTGGGCCGCAAAAAAAAAAACTTAAATTTTCATAGAAACTTAGGTTTTATTTTGAAAAGTACAGTATTAAAAAACAAAACACAGCATCCACCTCTACTAAACTATATCACCCCCTCTACTAAATCCCACCCCCCCACTAAACCACAGCACCCCCCCGCCACACTGTGCCAAATCTGA